GATACGAGCTATTTTTAAAAAAATAAAAATGATCTTACAATTTGATTAACAGTCACAGCGCTATTGATGCAAAAATAAGTAAAACCGTAATTTCATAAGCAAAATTTCGGTTTACCCCTTAAAATCGTGCGATAGTGCCATGCCTAGGGTGTGCCAGGTTTCTGACGCAATGTTCCATCGCAACCAATAAGGATGCTCAAATTTGTTAGCAAAACAAATCTAAAAAAAATGAAAATACAGAAAACAGATGCTTAAACCTAGCTTAACTCTAACAATAAAATATGATGCCAATTGACAATTATGTGAATTGTTTTATCCACGAGACTGGTGATACCGTGACATTACCACGTGAGTTGTGAATACCCTTTTTCTTAAAATCGACTTTAAATAATATTACAACCTAACGATAAATGCTTCAGACATGCTTGTCATAAGCATTATTCAAACTTCAAATCTAAAAATTCAAAAGTTATTCTAAAGGAAGTGAAGATGTTCTGCTAATATTCTGGGGTCTCAATAGTAAAATGATATTAGATAATATCCTGCATTCCCTTAACCATCTATCAAACCAACAATGTCAGCAATAATCACATGCCATTACAATTCATTTTTTGCGCCATGTCTTCCGTTATCAACGAGAATATTTTTATACTAGCTGCAAACAGCTGTGGAATTGAATGTCTTCCTCATCACTATCTAGTCAAAATATAAAAAATATGTTTCTGGCATTTCTCCGATGAACTAATATAGAATTGACGATTTTTTTTGTATTTATTATTTATTTTTTCGGAGAATATAAATATGATCATGTGCAATTTAAAAATGTATACACGTGCATACCAGTGCATTATCTGTTTGTCATCGTTTTTATTACATAATAATACATTATCTATCGCTATCGAAAAAATAAATCGCGCAGCAAAAAATCTACGTGCTCACATAAATGCCAGTAGATAACAAATTGCATAATCTCTTCCACTGGCACAGGATAATGCACAGAGAATGAAGAAGGGCCCAGAAAAAACTGATTACGCATGCCAATATGTGCGATTTTATTCGCTAATTTTACGGTATATCACAAATACCTATATTCTCTGTTAATTGGCCTCCTTTTGTTTATTCTAAATTTTTTTTAGTATCCTTCTGTTTTGCGGAATTATAACTTTATGCTCAATAGTAATAGATATAACAGATAATATTTTCTATATAATGTGCAAAACGGGTGGATTCGTTTCTAATTAAGGCAGACTTAATTAAAAAATTTCGATTGCGACCGGGCAATATAGTCCCGTCATCATTTATCTCTGTGTATACAAAAGCCAGTCGTAATTGTTGTTAAAATTGACTGACTGACTCACCTATTATTGTTTTTAAGTTTGCATTTTTAAGGTTAAGCTAACAATACGCGCAGAAAGTGAGTGACAGAGACAACAAATTAGGCAGGCCAATGTGAAGAAATCAGCATTGCAGTAGTGTTATTCATAAATAAGTTTACTTTGCTTAATTGGATATTGGTACTTATCTTTCTTGTGTTGTTTGTTTTTCAGAAAAATTAATTTCTTCTTTCCTCAATAAAATTATTGTTTGCATAAAAAAAATGGTTAAAAGACGTAACAGGAACCGACGTTCAAAGATTATTAAAAAGTATCTCAAAAAGGAGAATTTAAAAAAGGTAAAAAAAAGAACAATACACGTCAAATTTACGAAATTCAGAGAATAATGATTCTTAATTACATACGCAAAATTAAATGTTATCGTCATGGAGATACTTACTTTAAATTATTATTATATAGCGAAAATCCAGACCATTCCCATTGAATATCACTCAAAAGACAATTAACAAAATTTTACTAACGGACCCACGGATATTATCAATATCCCATCAAATCTATTTATCCTACGGAGTAATCGTTCCTCCAAAATGCAAAACAGATATATTAACGCCATCATACGTATTTAAACGTCGTTTATGGAATCATGAAAAAGGTTATTATCAAGTAAAAATTCAAGAATTAATAAGAGATGAATTCGTCAGCCTTTTCATGACACGTAAAAAGAAAAGCTTGCTTTCTGATAGCGAATTTAATGATACTATTAAAAACGAGCTGGCAAACATCCGTTCAAATCTTGTTAAAAATCATAATGTTCAAGAATGCTGCCTGCTCAGAAAGTTGGTCAGACGCGAGATACTTCCTAAAGGTATATGGTTAGCTATAATTAAACGATGGGTGGATAATGAAAAAAACAAAAAATCTAGAATGCGAAATATAATTGAAGTAAGTTATGTTGATTTGCGATTCTTTATATTTAGTTTTAACCAATATTGTTCATTATTCTTAGATGACGCGTTTGCGATATTCTAAAAACGCACTTATATAATGCAAATATTTTCGATTATAGGATAAATCATTCGCGACTCCAAGAGGAATCTGCGAATTCAAACAAATATTATACTCAAAATTATTATCGTTATTGTAATTCGGATGGATTAGAATTAAACGTGCTAATGTTAGGCAATATAATCTCTTTTATAGTTACACCTTATAAAGCTCCGTTATAATAACACATTCTCAAAAAGAATTTTATTCAACTTATAATTACATGTATACTCGGTAAATATATACTAAATTTTTTAACTTTGAATCAAGCTGAATATCACGTGATCTAATATGATTGATTTAAAGAGATAAACCAATCGAATCAATGAGATCAGTAATAGAAAATACAAAAAAAAGAATATCAAAACTTTTTTTGTTCTATTAAAAATATACATCTAGTCATCATGTAAAAATATTACATGATAAAGATATTAAATATTAAATAATATATCTTAGAGATATATTAGATATAAGCTTATTATAAAATGAATTTTTTTTCTTTTTTCTTTTTATAAAAATTAAATAATATATAATAATATATAATATATATGAGTATTTATTTTTGTAAGATGTTTTATATATAATAATTTATTTAATATATAAATATAAATATTTTATATATATATATATATAATTTAGAAAAAATTATTTTAAAATTATAAATAAGAAAATAAATATTTTTTAAAAATAATTAATTTATTATTATTTATTAAAAATAAATATTTAATATATATAGTTAAATCTCTAGGTATATTCTTTCTAAGTATATATATTATATAACTTTTTTCTAAATATATGATATATTCTGATTCTAACTTATAAGAATTTTATATATTTTAATTTCTATAAATATATACTCTCTCTAAATATATACTTTTTATTTTTTTTATTATAATCTCAAGAGAAATATAAAATTATTTTATTAATAATTATAAATAAGATAAAATATGATATAAATAGTTTTAATTTTATAATTTATAATTA